TGAGACCTCAAGAGCTTATGAATCGGAAGAGTCTACTATTAGTAATAGTCATTTAACTTTGTCTTCGCTACTTTATCAAATTGGCAGGAAGACTTAGAGGAAAGCACCTTGTCTGAAGTCCATAGTATGCATGATAATGTCCAGAGTCTGACCGTGGACTTGACACATTCCCAGACTTTTCGCATGCATTGTAGTGGACATCGCCAGTTAGCCTTTCCATTATTAGCACTACACTACAACTCGCCAACGAGACAAGTGCTTACATTGACAAGGCATACTGACGATGCCAAATTGACTAGAAATATATTTGAGATGCAGCAGGAGACCAGAAATAGACTTTAGCAGTTTCCTCAAGGTAGAAGGGTTCAATCACAGATGTAGTCCGTGGAGGCAATGCAAGCATAAAAATCATATCATAGATATGAAAACCAAGATAGTGTGACCTTTGGTTTGTTCGCAGTTTCCTTTAGCTGTATATTGGTTTTGTCTCGTTTTTGCAAATTGGTCCTGGCAACAAAGAGACCTTGCAGAACTTACCGAATCCTACGCCCTCTATTATAGTATTCATGATGATTTCCAGCATCGTACCGTCGATTTGGTACATTTCTAGACGTTTCGACGGTATCTTAGTCGGCTTTGTCAATGAGAGACATTTAGCACGGAGTTACAACTTGTCAAATTGGCAAGCGAAGACGTTCGCTTGACAGATTTTTTGATCATCCGTTGTTGCTTCAGTCCTCGTCACTATTTTTTATCCAAGTTTGTAGCCCTGCTTCTCTTTCTATAAACCCCATTTCATACGGCGCATTTGCTTATTCACACCATACAGGGTTCTCGTTTCCTACGTTGTCACCTAAGAATGTGTCACTTCGAATAACTTTAGTGACCCAGTCACCTTCACAAGCGGTTTCAGGTGCCGTCAAGGGCTTCAGCATTGTGGCTTCTGACTTTCACTTAGCCTCCGTTCACCCCGACTGTCAGTTTGTGCCTGCTACGCATGAAAACCTCTGTCTGTATCGAATTCTGGCTGCCTATGTGTCTTCGATTCTGACCCCCGCTTACATCATATTCGAGGGCTTAAAGGCTGGTGCTTCTTATGCTTAGGCATCTCCTTCTCCCTAAGCTTCAGACGAGTACATGGGTTGGATCACAGAGATCAGAGTCTATGTGCTCTGCTCTGAGGCCACAGTATACGTGCTAACAAGAGTTTGTGGCAGACAACGAGAAATATGGCCTGGACTAAAATGTATATTGTGAGTGAAATTGGGGGAAATTATTTAATCAGTACGAGAAGAAACGAGTTTCCCGGGCTAAGATGGAGATCCGGGTAGGAGGTCCAAGTCAAATCAGCAATTCCGACAAATCGAGATGGAATGGTAGGGTAAACAAGCCGGTGTGATAACGCCCCACTAAACTCACCAAAAAGAGCAGACCTTTAGAGGAATAGAATATAAATAAATCAGAAGTTATGATTGGAAGGGAGTGTGATACGAGGGTAGGGATTTGGTAGATGTGCTGGGACAAAAAGAAGAGGGATAGTACAACCGTTTGGCAGAAAGTCGATCAAGGGATTGACCTCATTTCTCTCCTTGGCGAGTTGTAGCTTGGTGATGAGAATGACAAGACTCACTTCGATTCTGGAGAAATATCTGGGAATGTAGCAAGTCCACGGTCCAACACTGGAAATCATCATAGCTGATATAGCAAAGGACTTCGGACAAGTTGCGTCCAGCTAGATCACCTTGTCAACACGACCAAGTTTCGAAAACGAGGTTAAACCACTTATCTACAGCGAAAGGAGACTACGGCTTAAGCAGATGCCACAGAATCTTGGTTTTCAAATCTAAAGGCGGTTACTTATAGAGTATTGATTAATTTACTTGAGGTTTTTTTAAAGTTTTAAGGACATAAGTCTTGAAGGAGCATTGGGCAAGCTTTGATGTACAATTAAATGCATACGAACATTTCAAAAGAGAAAGCGACATCGGCAATGTTGGTGATCTCGAAAAGGAAAGATTATATTTTTTGGAGGTAGCTGCAAAGGAGTGTTTTAGATTATTCATCTATTTCACTATTAGGCTGACCTAATTTTCACTCAGCAGTTGCATCTATGGGCGACTATTTCATCTACCTGTATGCACACACTTTGTACCATCTGGCCAACGCCTCCATTACTAAGACTAAGAAAGAATTCAGGATATTATTACTGCTGCGATTAATCTTGCGATATCTAGACGATTATTTTGCAATCCAGTCACATGGCTGAAAAAATTTAGAGACTTCCTTTAGGTCTCTGAATCACAGTGAATTTACCATGGAGTTAGAGGAAAAAGGTATGCTACTGTTCCCATGCGTAGAGGAGATTCTCCCGAGTAAAAACCTTAAGATACAGTTATTCCGAAATAAATTGTGAGAAAGGAATAAGGGGAATGAATATATACATAAGAAATGTTATGTCTACACTCAAATGAACTTGTGCGTAAACTACCGCCTCTACTGACTAAATCAAACATTCGCACTTACCTGAAATAAGGAAAGACAAATTTCATAGGTCAATTAGCACTACATCAAAAACCAATAAAACAGATTGCTCAACGATCTTCTGCATCGACTGCTAATATTGTCAATAAAGGCACAGTGGAGGACCGAGGGGATAATCAATATAAAAATTAAATAAAACCAGTGTTCATGTAAAATCAGAGTAATGAAAAGATCGGAAATAACAGAAAATGTTGCATGGAGCAGTGACGACATAAATTGGAATTGAAGTAAAATACCGGTCTCATAGAGTGAAAATGAAAGAAAATGTTGGATTAAGAAAGCCGTGAACATCTCTTTTAAAAGGAATTAAGTTAAGAGGAGATTTGGAGATTGAAGGGCAAGTGCAACCTTCGCTTACTGTTTAGTCAACTTTGAAGGAACTCGAGATTCAGCCAAAATAACAAAAAGGCGAGGCATAGATAAAGGAAATCACTCGAACATGAATTTTAAAATGTTTTATATCCCATAGATTAAACATTTATATAAATAATACTCTTATGAACAACTCTTGCGCCTTTATTTCTCTCATAACTTGTAGCTTATTGCCTGAAGATCAGTTTGGGTGCAGTGACGATGGTCGCCACTCCATGACTCGTGAAGAATCGGACCAAAAACGACCTGCACCGATATTTCACCGTGCCTACACCGCCAAGCCCTCTAACCGATCAGAGTCTCAAGACCAAAGAGTACATAGAGTGACTTTGCAGACGCCTGCGAAGGCCTGCACAAGGAACGCACTCGCAACTAAGGCCGGGACTTCTAAAACATCATCTATCGCCAATAAAAGCCAGCTTCACGTTCAGGTCGAAAATGAAAACAAAGGAGCTGTTTTATCCAGCATGCCAATCCGTCTAGGTAGGGTTAAATCAACGGATCTAGACGAGCCGATTGAACATTACAAGCTACCTGTGACTCCAGACCTCAGGGGTGCAGACACGGGTCTTGGGAACGCCGGAAATATCAGCTATTCAGTCCAGCGGCGAGCTACTCCAGTGGGTCCAGCTGAAGCTGCTGCAATGGCAACCTCACTCTACGGATCTGGTAATAGTCTTGTTAGTATATGTTTAAATAAGGTAAAAAGTTTGTATCTCTTTTGTTCCGGGCTCAAATAATGAGAAACGTTTTTCAAGGTATAAAAGCATAGATAAGCAAATAGGTTTTAATGTTAGCATCTGTTTTTTCTCGCGCGAATTTCGCATTAATGTTTTCTGGCATCATACGCATAGCTAGTTTGTCTTGTTGGTTTACCGACTAAGATTTTATTGATTTTTGTCAGCCAGTAGCACCAAAAATAGGAAATTTCAACCCTTGAGAAAATTTCACAACTTAACGACAGAAACAATTTTATAAGTTGGTATGCCATTTAGCTTGAGATGTTTCAGGTGGGCCAATGTCTTTTTACCGTTATGATTCATGAGTGCGAAAAATGTAATTCATTAAATTAACTGCCCAACTACAAAATATTTTCGAGTGATGAAACATACTAAATGCTTTGAGTTTACAACTATATTCTGCTTTATCATAAAGCAATGCATTTTTTCGCCTCTTGTTCATTTGGTTTCATATCCCAGACACCAAATTCAGGATGAGACAAAATATTTGGTATATGGTGCAGTTGCTAGTGACATTCAGAATACCTATGATGATTTGAAGACAATTTAGGGTCTTGTCTGCTAGCATGTGATTGCTCCTAATCCCTCTGAAGATGCTGATGAGGCTTAGATTGGGTCGAACCTGTAGTCCATCGAGGATGATTATGCTCTTACTCTGTACATAGCACAACTCAATTAAGTAAAAAATTTTATTTACGAGGCATTCATTTATTTCTAGTCGGCATTGTTTATCCAAATTTCTTATTTTTTATAGTTAACTGGGTAAGCTAGAAATTGTCCTCGTATCCGGAACAGAGGAAATTTGAATATAACTGCAATAATAGAACTATGCAACGAATTCTAGTTAGTTAGAGGCTGTGTTATAATCACTATCTCATTTTCCAATTCATAATAAAGTATGCATATCAGTCCATTACATATTTCTATCTTTGATCAGTCAAAATCTATAGCCTCTAGCATGACCACGAGTATTCTTTTGTACAACATTTTTTTCATCATTTAAACTATCAAACTAAACGTCATTCCTCTTAATCCCTATCTTTATTGTATCCATCATAATCTCAATCACTTGCATACCACTAACCCAGCTGCACCATACTTAAAGGTTCGTCGCAAGACGCGACAGGAGTTAATTGCACTTGTCGGCCTTCAAACCACCTCCATAGATGGCGCCGACGAGCTAGAATCAAGACCAACCAGCCGTAACTTATCTTCTCTCTCTACTAATCTGAGAAAGCCGTTGACACAAAGTCCTTCACATAAAGAAGATCAAGGTCGGATGCATACAGCACACATAAACCCCGAACAGGCGCTTCAACCCTCTGTGGACTGGCCAACTGCCGCCCCTGTTATTCATCCAACTGCTCTGCAGCATCCGACAATTAACGATAGCTGGGACGGAGACCAAACTAATGTTGACTTGTTCGTGAGTTGTAGAGAACCCTATGGTCGCTGTGTGTCTGATTTAACGACTCCCGGGACCGTGACAGACAAGGACGTTGCGGATCGGCAGTCAGGGCTGCCCAGCGATGCACTTTTCTTCTCTGTGACACAATCCAAAGACCTTGTTACTACTTCAGATGAGTCCACGAGTACTTGCCATCTTCATCAGGACCATAATGAAAGGTCGCCTTCCGTTCAGCCGAAAAAT